AAATTTTTTTGTCATGTGAATTTCTCACTTATTATGAGTAATAGGATAACTATATTTGGTATATGGGTTCCTTGAACATTTACATGTTCATCAGACAGGGTTCACCTGACCTCGACCTCATTTCATGGATCAGTGATCAAGGTTAAAGTTGTGTGATCATTTCTCAAATACTATAAGCAGTAGGTCAAGTATATTTATTGTATGGAATGATTGTAATGGGTACATGTCAGTCTGGCAGGTTTCATCTGACCTTGACCTCATTTTCATGGTTCATTGGTCAATGTTAAGTTTTTGTGTTTTTGACTGTTTTTCAAGTACTAAAAGCAATATGTCAACTATATTTGGTGTATGGAATGATTGTAAGGTGTACATAACTGTCTGGCAGGTTTCATCTGACCTTGACCTCATTTTTGGGTAGATATTGCATGAAATGCAATCAAAACCTTATGGTACTGACTTGATATCTAAATCTTCCAAGGTTTATCACTACTTTTGAGATACACAAAATATAGTGCATTGATCATAACATTCTATACATCCTATCCATGAACATTTCCAGAAATTTATCAATGAAATATATGCTCAGATATGCAAGTTATAAAATGATGTTATACTTGTCAAGAAAATTACATAACTTTTGCAAGGTGCAGGAATCTAATATCTGTTCTAAAAATATCAATGATGTCATTGTTAAAGTCATCTTTAAAAATTGGAGTTATCTTCCTTTGTCCAGAATTGTATTTCAATCAACTACAACCAATGCTTTTTACAATGCAATATTTAATTTTACTTCCCACTGATAAATTAAAGCAATCTTTACCCTTCAGTGCTTACAAGCACTTTGATTATGGTTCATTGGTCAATTTTAAGTTTTTGTGTTTTTGGTCTTATTTTTCAAGTACTATAAGCAATAGGTCAACTATATTTGGTGTATGGAATAATTGTAAGGTGCACATGTCTGTCTGGCAGGTATAATCTGACCTTGACCTCATTTTCATAGTTCATTGGTCAATGTTAAGTTTTTGGGTTTTGGTCTGTTTTTCAATTAGCATAGGCAATAGGTCAACTATATTTGGTGTATAAAAAAATTGTAAGTGTATATTTGTCTGTCTGACATGATTTATCTGACATTGACCTCATTGTCATAGACCTTTAAAATGTTGTTTCTGTAATGCTTTTAGTAAAACCTTTATCTTTAAGACTTTCAACATAAAATCAATGGTCAGTAATTATAAAGCAGGGGAGACATTTTAGCTTGTACACTCTTGTTCATATACCTGGTGCTACTTGTGCAGTAACATGTAACTCAAGTTTTCTGTCACCGATTCACACTCAATCTTTTAACAATAAAATAAGGTCTTTTTGATTTTGTTGACTCAGATTAATTTATCAGAGTTTTGAGTTATAACCATCAGATGATGTCCTTTCTAAAACTACTTACCCATATGAACCCTAACTTTGAAAAATGGTCCTGAGGTGCTCCCTTTTAAAATGCTAAAATCCCAGTACATGTCATCCAGAACAGCCTCCAGAGCACCTGATACTAAGACAGATTAATCTTCTTCAGGACTACTCTAAATTAAAATAAATTCACATACATTGTAGGTAGGAATAATCTTCCTTATTCAGAATCAAAGATGGCATCCAACAATGTACTAAAAAAGTCTGTTTTGGCATGTATTGAAATTTCTTTATCTTGTCTCCTGAATGTCTTAAATACCTTCTGACTAATATGATGCAGGTGTTACCTGTGAAAGAGAGCAAAGTCATAATTATTGTCATGATACTTTTAGGTAACGAATTACAAATTTGCAGGAAATATTTAGCTTTGCTACATAGCAGCCTCAGTGCAACTGTTGTAAAGAAAAAAAAAATATTTTGGATTAGTATATTGGGGATTGATTAATTTTTATTGGTACCAATTTTCATGGTTTGAGGAAAAGTTGTATTTTCGAAGAGATTTGATTTCATGGATTTGCCTAAGTTTGCATACAAGCCTCTATAGAAAATGTATACTTCGTTGAACATTTTAATTTGTGGTTTGCCTAATGACTATTGTGTTGAAATAAACGAATAAGTGACTTTTAATTTGCGTTGTGTTACTTTAAAATCAATCTGTATCTAAGGCGCCCATACAAAAGTACAAAGTAATGTCACAAACATAAGACGTAAAATAACATAACATTGTTAATTTGAACAATATTCTCAACAACCATATCTATGAAATCCACAAAAATTGGTACCCCATGAATAATATCCAACAGTATTGATTTTTACATTGATTTTCTAACTGTTATCGAGGATCTCATCCTCAAAGGCTCTTACTAGTCATGCTAGTAAATTAATCTTGACATTGATTTTTTATACGACCACAAAAAAATTGCGTTCGTATATTGCTATCATGTCGTTGTCGTCATCGTCCGAAGACATTTGGTTTCCGGACAATAACTTTAGTATAAGTGAATGGATCTCTTTAAAATTTAACCACAAGATTCAATAGCACAAAATGAAGGTTGGGATAGATTTTGGGGGTAATGGTCCCAACTGTTTAGGAATTAGGTGTCAAAAAGGGTCCAAGAAAGGCATTTTTGTAGTTTCCAGACAATAACTTGTGTATAAGTGTATGGATCTCTATAAAATTGTACCGCAAGGTTCCATACCACAAAGGGAAGGTTGGGATTGACTTTGGGGGTTATGGCCCAAACCATTCAGGAATTAGGGGCAAAAAAGGGGGGAAAAACAAGGTTTTTCTAGTTAATGGACAATTACTTAAGTATTAGTCTATGGATCTCTATGAAATTGAAACACAAGGTTCCATACCACAAAGGGAAGGTTGGGTTTGGCTTTGGGGGTTATGTCTCAAACCGTTCAGGAATAAGGGGCAAAAAAGGGGTGGTTGATGAGGAACAAGGTTTTTCTGGTTTCCGGACAAATACTTAAGTATTAGTCAATGGATCTCTATGAAATTGTACCAATAGGTACCATACCACACACAGAAGGTTGGGGTCGATTTTGTAGGTTGTGGCTCTAATTGTTAAGAAACTAGAGGCCAAAAGGGATCAAAAACAAGACTTTTCTAATACTGGCTAAGCTGGTTCTAACATAAATTATTTCTGATCTATATAAAGAAACAACAAATACTCATATGGCAGGAGATACACACCAAACAGGGTGTTTATATTATTATATTTAGTTTGTAAACAGATTTACTAAGTATGCCCAACAGCAAGAAATCTTCAATTGAAAATAAATACAAATCTTTTAACCAATTTCAATGAGGATTAATTTAAAGTCTTGAATTGTTTGAGGTTTTTACCATGTATTACTATATTGGATATATGGACATTTTTAAATAGGTCTACATTGAGGTCCAAAGGGTCCAAAATTAGACTTTGTTTGATTTCATCAAAAACTGAATTCTTGTGGTTCTATGATATGCCGAATCTAATTGTGCATTCAGATTTTGAATTTTGGGCCCTGTTTTCAAATTAGTCCATATTAAGGTCTAAAGGGTCCAAAATTAAACTTTGTTTGAATTCATGACTTTTTTTATATGCTGAATCTAACCGTGGAATTAGATTTTGGATATTGGACCATTAAGTAGATTAAATGTCCAATTTCAAAATTTAAAGTTATCTGACCACATTTATTCTGTGTCAGAAATCTATAATGTTTCAAATATTTAATCACTATCCAAATTCAGAGCTGTATCAAGCTTGAATATTGTGTACATACTTGCCCCAACTGTTCAGAGTTCGACCTCTGCGGTCATATCCAGCTGCTCCAGGCTGAGCGCATTTTTAACTGCTATTGAGGACTACATTTGTACATCCTCATATAAGCAGGGTTGGCAAAGTATTACCTGCCCAGGAAAAACCCATGTGGGAAAACCTGGGTTTTCCCGGGCTGGGCAATACTCCCTGAAACAGGTAATACTGGGCAATATGATTTTTTAAGCTTATTTCAAACCAAAATAGTAAAGTCTTGTTGTAGTTTCATAGTATTAAAGCTAAATTTATACATTTTATACAGATAACCATTGAGAGTCATTTCTAGAAGATTTAAAATTCAATATAATTCTCTTCTCTACTTATTCTATGTAGGCAGAATACAAGATACATTTAAGGATAACTTGTTAATTTCCAAGCATTGTTTCAATAATCCAAACTTTGAAAAAAAGGCATTTTATTGCAGTGTTTAAGTGAATTGTAAATTTAAAATGCTATGCAATCATATTGCTAAATAAACACCCTACATGGTCATGTCATTAACACTTATAGAAATGAAAAGGCTGATTATTGTTATATAAACATATCTGTGTTCTAATCTGAATAATAACTTATTAATTAGTGATGTACATATAAATAATTTAAAAGTATTTTTTCTTACTGGTAATTGTTAATTGTTAAAATTTGTTATATATATTTGGAAAAAATGAATTCTTTGGCTTTATGTTAACAGTTTGACCAATCCAGACAGAAGGGTGATTTAATAGATTTTGAGGAGAATTATTGAGAAAGGCTTTTTCCATTTATATTTGCCTAATGTGTCTTCATGTATACTTGTCTCATAGTTGCTAGAATAATACTTTCTCAAATGAATACACTTGTATTATAAGACTCAATCAAGTAAACTTATTCATCAATCAAAATGTGTTTATAAATATCTAAAATGTATTGCATTTGTGTTTGATCACTGAATCCTTTTTAAAATTCAGGCCAGTATTTTATATTACCCAGTATTGCCCAGTATTCATGGTATTAACCAGTAAAACCCGGGTTTTTCCAGTATTTCCCACTGGGCTGGGCAATACTCATATAACCCGGGTTTTTGCCAACCCTGCATATAAGCCAACACGGTTTTAAGTACAAAATGTTGGATCTTATTGAAAAATGAGTGATACTTACTACTTCAAGTTTCTAGTTTATACTTGGATTCTACCTGGCAAGTAAACTTTTTTAGAAATATGCATCTTTTGTATAAAATTATTTAATTTTCAGAAGAGATGGGGATGTTTTCCAGAAGCCACAAGGAGTTGGGGATAATGGAGGACGAAGAAGAAGGGGCATGTTCATGTTGTAAAGAGTTCCTTAGATTCATTGTTCTATTTCTTCAAGCAGTAGTTTTGGTAAATACTTATATATGTAAGATTGATAAGCACTTGACTATTTAACTGAGAAATCAACTGATTATTTATAGGACTGAAATCATTAAACATTATCTATGAACAATTGCAACGGGTTGGAAATTTTGCGAACCAAAATTCCAGTCATTTTGCAAAGCTTGACTTGCATCATCAATTTCATATGAGAGGCAAAAAAATGATGCAGTAAATGATTTTGCAGGTTTTCTTAAAGTTAATCTTTATCTTTAAGAGTATATTTGTGGTACAATAGCTTGCATTCTTACATCTGTGTTATATATTTTTAACTTGTTTAACTCCCTCTGAATATTGAAAAATGATTTATAATATATGTAGCATTTATACATTTGTACTGCTATAGATGCAATCAATTACAATTGCATTATTTCTATTTTATTTTCAATAAGTGATTTTATATCAAGACATGTTTTTTAACAGATTGGGGCAATATCATGTCTGGCTATTGGAATCTATACCCATGAAGTTGAGTATGGTAGTAGGCAATTGTCTTCTTTAATAGGAGTGTCTATGTATCGTGCTGATTCTGTGATGATGATTGGGGGAGGAGCAGCAATCATTGCCATAACTTTGTTAGGATTTATTGGAGCTTACAGACAACATAAATGTATGGTTGGGATGGTAAGTACAAGGCTCTACAATAACATAAATTCAACTAATTCTATAGGACAAGTACTTTTAAAGGACTTTTAAAATTGGGTGTCAAAGTTACCTTCACTTCTCAGGACATTAATATATACCTAGAAATTTGAATAGTAGCTTTTTCTCTGAGGTAAAAAAAAATAATAAAGACATATTTCATTAAAAAAAAAAGCTTGCCACTTGCTTCTTTCAAGGTAAAATTTAACTTATATACAAGTTTAAAATACAGATGACATTTCTAAATGCATTTTTGAAAGAAAGTGCAATAAAAATGAGGTCAGAAATAAAGTTTTACTTTGTAATACTTATATAATATATAACGTTAAGACAACACATTTTTATTCATGAAGATAGATTCATAAACATATTATAATTTTATTTTCAGTATCTCTGTATATTTGTCTTCTTGGCTCTAATGGTATTTGCTGCAGGTATACTTGGATATATATTTATTGCACAGGTAATTATGGAAGTTATGGTGACAATAGGGCATTTCCATTAGACAATAGCCTATATCAACCTTTGATCTGTAGAACTTGATCCATTAGGAGACTGCAAACTAATATGAAAACAAAATACAGTGTATAGTTAGATTATCTGGTTCCATCACATCAGTAATAATGAAATGTTGTGGTATCTGTTAGGTCTCAACATTTCCTTTGATTCACCATTGAAGATCAATCTCCCCTAGGAAGAGGTCAATATCAAGGAGGTACATTTTTGGGCTTATTTGGTTGGCCCTGTATATTCACCAAAAATGTTTAAAAGTCATTAAATTTTTATACGACCGCAAAAAGCGGTCGTATATTGGTATCACATCGTCATCGTCAGCGTCGTCCGAAGACATTTGGTTCCCGGACAATAACTTTAGTAAATGTGAATAGATATCTATGAAATTTAAACACAAGGTTTATAACCACAAATGGAAGGTTGGGATTGATCTTGGGGGTTATAGTCCAAACAGTTTAGGAATTTGGGGCCAAAAAGGGGCCCAAATAAGCATTTTTATACACCCGTCAATTTTTGACGGGACGTATTATGGTATACAAATGTCCTGTGTCCGTCCGTCTGTCTGTCTGGCATTTTTATACGCCTGTCAATTTTTGACGGGACGTATTATGGTATACAAATGTCCGGTGTCTGTCCGTCGTAAACATGTCACACCGTAACTTGAGAATGACTTATCCAAATTTCATGAAACTTAACATAGTTGTTTCTTATGATGGTCAAACGATCTGTATACTTTTTGGTGAAAATAAGATTAAAACTTTTTGAGTTACGGGACTTAGTAACTAAAACTGGTGTGTGTTTTTTTTCACATGTCGCGCCGTATCTCAAAAACAATTTATGATTATTGCTTAAAGCTTTACACACTTCTTAGTTATATTAACCTTAAGATCTGTATACTTTTTGGTTTTGATTCAAAATTTTATTTTTGAGATATTGATTTTTTTTTTTTAAAAGGGGGGTTTTCACATGTCGCGCCGTATCTCAAAAATGATTTATGATTATTGCTTAAAATTTTACATACTTCTTAGTTATATTAATCTAAAGATCTGTATAATTTTTGGTGATGATTCAAAATTTTTATTTTAGAGATATTGAGTTTTTTGTAAAAAAAAAAGGGGGTTTTCGCATGTCACGCAGTATGTCAGAAACTATTTATGCTTATTGCATAAAAATTCACACACAAGACAACGGGCGTATCATGCGCTCATGGCACAGCTGTTTATTCTAATTTCCAGACAATAACTTGTGGAACTGTGTATGGATCTCTCTGAAATTATACCACAAGTTTCCATACAACAAAGGGATGGTTAGGATTGGCTTTGGGGGGTTATGGCTCAAACCGTTTAGGAATTAGGGGCAAAAAAGGGGAAAAAACAAGGGTTTTCTGGTTAATGGACAATTAAAAAAAAGGACAATGTTATGTTTGGGTTACCTCCCTTACACTGCTTTTAAATTATGTATAAAGAAATGTTGTATTGTCTTGAGGTGATTAGCTGTCAATTTATTTTTAGAAGTTACTATTTAAAAATGCTGATTAAGGAATATTAATCTTAGCAATGATTATGTATGTCATTTTCTATTTTAAGACTTTTATGATGTATTTAAATGGGTAATTATGGTTGCAAACTCCATTGGAAATTTGAATTGTGATTATGACCATATCTTGAGAGAAAGTAATTTTTTTTTTGGGAAAAAGGGGGGAGGGGGGGTAAAAAAGAAATTGTGAGGGGGGGGGGGGGGGACAATTTTTTCTCATTTCAGATTTCAGAAATTAAAAAGAAAATTTCTTCAAATATTTTTTTTTTTGCAAAAAAAAGGGGGGAGGGGGCTAAAAAAAAAATTTTTTTTTTGGGGGGGGGGTCAATTCGCAACAGCATAGTGTATTGCACAAAAGCAAAAAATTGAATATGAATTCAAATCATATAACCAATTCTAAGTTCTTTGACTACAGTTATACTGTGTCAGAAACCTATTATGTGTCAAATATTTAATTACAATCCAAATTCAGACCTGTATCAAGCGTGAATATTGTGTCCATTTTTGCCCCAACTGTTCAGGGTTGGACCTGCGGTCGTATCCAGCTGAGCTTGCGAAGCAATTTATTTAAGCTTCAAAAGAAAGGCTTTCAGAAAATGTTGATATTTGCCAAGCCTTGATGACATAATTTTTCTGTGATGGTCATAAAAATGATGTCAGAAGGAGATTTTTCTCTGTTTTGGGCAAAAATAGGCTGATTTCAGAAACATTTTAGATTACTTAACATAGAGTACAAGCATTGTTACCAAACAGTTTTATTTTATATTCTAACCTTCAAAAATAAATCTGGATAGAACTTCACATATAATCCGGCTGGCCACGTTATTACCGGAGACCTCAACATTGTCAATAACACTTCCCTGCGAAATTTGTTATCCAAAGGTCCGAAATATCGTGAGCCTAAATCCATCAATTGGAAATACAACTTCAAAATACTGATGGATTCAGTCGAGGATTATGCCAGGCAATGGGCTAAACGCGAGAAAGAAGACGTAGATACTCTTTCCGAATGGATTAAGGCTGTGAGGTCGTTGATACAAATCCGAATTAAGAAACTAAATGGGCATATCAATACCCATGCTACATCAATTTTTAAAGACCCAAATGTTGCAAAATACTTGTCCTACCTCCATGACAAATTTGTTGTTGTCCCCGCAGATAAAGCCCCAAACAACATCGTTTTTGTGTGTAAATATCATTACATAAACTGCTTGATAAATGAATTAGGTATTGACAATTCACTTGAAAACTCAACATATACCCTCACGACACTTACCAAAGAGGAAATCCTGGATAATCATAGGTCTGTTCTATGTTCCTTTGGAATTTCAACCAAAGATGAAGAACTGGATCTTCCATCACTGTATTGGATACCTAAACTACATAAGTGTCCTTACAAACAACGGTATATTGCTGGGTCTTCAAAGTGCTCCACGAAACCTCTTTCTAAATTATTAACATCTATTTTATCAACAATCAAAGCCGGGCTCCAAAGTTATTGTGAAACTGCCTATTCTAGAGGTGGCGTGAATCAGATGTGGATACTAAAAAATTCCAAAGATCTTTTAGAGTACATACAATCTAAGACTCTCTCATCTTGCAATAGTATTAAAACATTTGACTTTTCTACACTTTACACAAGTATTCCCCATTCCAAACTTAAAGACAAATTGAAAGAGTTGGTATTACTTTGTTTCATTAAAAAGAATGGCGAACGTAGATACAAGTATCTTGTCTTGGGGAGGGATAAATCCTACTTTGTAAAGAATCACTCTGATTCAAACAAAAAATTCTCCAAAACTGACATTATCAAGATGCTTGATTTCTTGATTGACAACATATTTGTTACGTTTGGAGGACGTGTTTTTCAACAGACTGTCGGAATTCCAATGGGAACCAATTGTGCCCCTCTTCTTGCCGACTTGTTTCTTTATTATTATGAGGCTGACTTCATACAGGAACTTCTTAGGAAGAAAGATAAGAAGTTAGCAACATCCTTTAACTCTACTTTCCGCTATATAGATGATGTTCTCTCACTAAATAATACAAAATTTGGTGACTATGTTGAACGAATCTATCCAATCGAACTAGAGATAAAGGATACTACAGATACAGTTAAGTCTGCCTCATATCTTGACTTACATCTAGAAATTGACAATGAGGGTCGGTTGAAAACAAAACTTTACGACAAAAGAGATGATTTCAGCTTCCCAATTGTGAACTTTCCATTTCTATGTAGCAACATTCAAGCAGCGCCTGCTTACGGAGTATATATCTCCCAATTGATACGATATTCCCGGGCTTGTGTTTCCTATCATGATTTCCTTGATAGAGGATTGCTGCTCACAAGGAAGCTATTAAGCCAAGAGTTCCAAATGGTGAAGTTGAAGTCATCCCTTCGTAAATTTTACGGGCGCCATCACGAGTTGGTTGACGGTTATGGAATAACTGTTTCACAGATGATATCGGATATGTTCCTTATGTCGTAACTACAATACCCTTCCCTTTTCACGAATGTGACTTACCGAATTGGACTATTTACCAAATTTGTAATAACATAAGTAACACGACGGGTGCCACATGTGGAGCAAGATCTGCTTACCCTTCCGGAGCACCTGAGATCACCCCCAGTTTTTGGTGGGGTTCGTGTTGCTTAGTCTTTAGTTTTCTATGTTGTGTCATCTGTACTATTATTTGTCTGTTTGTCTTTTTATTTTTGGCCATGGCGTTGTCAGTTTGTTTTCGATCTATGAGTTTGACTGTCCCTCTGGTATCTTTCGTCCCTCTTTCATTAAATCCAATCAATATTGAAAGCTTTCCTATGAAAAACTTCATTTTTTTTAGCTAGAGTATTTTCCCTAACAGACTTACACAGGGAAGCATGTGTTCTTGAAAACCTTCTTTATCTGTTTTGTTATGAAAGTAAAGCAAAAATTCAATCTGCTGAAGTTCCACACGTCAAAGGATGTGCTGTCAGTAAATGGAACACATAAATTTGTAAGCATGTCATTCATTTTGATGTGTATTAACCCAACTCCTTGTCATTGATTTTCATGTGTATTGACCCAATTTCCTTGCCATTGATTTTTCAGTCATTACTTTGATTTGCTTTAATGCCACTTGTAATATAAATTACAAATGTGAAAGGTGTAAGTATTGATAAATATTTCCGACTGACTGAATTTTGAAAATTGAGAACTATTATCATTTCATGAGTAGAAAAAGAATAGTTTGGAAACAGCATCATTTCAATATGATCATATTATTCTTTGACAAATTATGATATTTTTTCTTATTTTCAGTTAGAAGACAATGTTAGAAAATCAATGGAAGAAAGTTTAAAGAAACATTATGGAGTGGTAGTAGATAAGAAAAGAAAGAACGAAGATATAACAAAATCCTGGGACTCAATCCAACAAAGTGTATGTAGAAAACTGTAATATATAATATTTAGTTTGATTTTAGTCATGAACAACAGAATTTGGAAAGCAAAAATACATATTATTCTTTACAGAATTACTGTCTGGGGACATTAATAATTTTCAATAATATAATGTTCTAGGAGTTCAAAAAGATTAAAATATTGATTCAACTTCTTAAAGTTGTGTTAAATTACCAGAAATTTGATATTTGTATTGTATGTTCACATGTGTTAAATAAGTTATTGTCCTCTGCGAAACGCGTTGCGGGGGACATGGAAATACGGGGCATCTCTCCGTCTGTCCGGTGTTATTAGCGCTCTCAGGTGAACAGTTCTTGCCAGATTTTTATGAAACTTGTATCATAGGTTTATATCAGCAATGTCTTGGACGAGTTCGAAAATCAGTACGGATCAATTATTTTTTAAAAGAGTTATGCCCCTTGGAAACATTAATTATTTAGAAAATTGCATTGTTAGAGCTCTCATGTGTACAATTTTTGCTAGATTTTAATGATATCATAGGTTGATATCATGAATGTCTCAGACAAATTTGAAAATTGGTGCCGATCAATTATTTTAAAAAGAGTTAAGTTCCATGGAAATATAGATTATATGGAGAATTGCATTGTTAGCGCTCTCATGTGTACAGTTCTTGCCAGAATTTTATGAAACTCATATCATAGGTTTATATCAGCAATTTCTTTGACAGTTTCGAAAATAAGTGCTGATCAAATATTTTTAAAGAGTTATGCCTCTTGAAAAAATTAATTATAACGGAAATCGCATTGCATTTGCTCAGAAGCCTTCATTTCTCTAAGATATTTATAAATTGTTTTAAAGAAGAAAAAAAAGTACTTTTTTTAAGTTATTGCCCTTAGATAGATAAAATATGTGCAATGTGGGGGATCATTTGAACTCTGTTTTTTTATTGTCATAAATTAACAATACAAGTGGATAAACAAATATTAAATGCAAGGTAGATAATGTGTCGATGTTTTTATTTTTAGTTTCAATGTTGTGGAGCTTATGGTAGTGAGAACTCATCACATTCCTGGGCTCTTTATCAGCAAGAGACCTTTTGGTTTATTGATAAATACTCCAGTAAGTTTACCTAAAGATTACTTTTTGACCTGTCACAAATCTCACAAGGAGAATTCATGCATGACTAAATCATTTATTCAAGTGTAACACATTTATAGTTAAAGAGAGAAGATATACCTGGTAGGTAACTCCAGGGCTCACACTACTTCAGACTTCTCTTTTTGAAATTGAGAGGGAGAAGTGGTGAGATTTGAAAGAGAAGTGCTTGTTCGCTCGCGGCGCTACAATGTTTGGTTTTTACTATAATACATTAAGGGCCATATGTATCTTATTTTTTATGCCCCCGCCGTACCGGAGGGGGCATTAAGTTTTACCCTTGTCCGTCTGTACGTACGTACGTACGTACGTACGTCCCGAAATTGGTTTCCGTTCTCTAACTTGAGTTTGCCTCAACCAAATGTAATGAAACTTATACACAATGCTTATTACCACAAAACACAGATCAAGTTTGAATTTTGGTGGCGTCACTTTAACCGATCTAGAGTTATGCCCCTTTATAAAAGGAAATATTGCATAATTTTTAGTTTCCGTTCTCTAACTTAAGTTTGCCTCAACCAAATGTTATGAAACTTATACACAATGCTTATTACCACAAAACACAGATCAAGTTTGAATTTTGGTGGTGTCACTTTAATTTTTATATTGTTCAATTTGTACCTGGGTATACAATTAAAGTAACTGTTCAAATTTAAAGTTGTTTAATTTTATCATATCTAGTTGCACAATCATATGAGTCCTCTTTTCAGAGAAAACAGTTAAATATCTGGCACTAATAAAACAGATTTTTTTTTATATCAAAAAGGAAAAGAAAGTTGTTATATCAATTAAAAAACAACTCTGTTATCATGTTCATGAAACTGAGTATTTCTCATTAAAAAGATATATAAATTTAACAGTTGAGCTTGGACATAATATAATTATATTAGTGTACATGTAATAGTCCCAGAGTTGAGCAACTTTGACTTATAAATTGAAACAATACATATACATGGAAATATATACATTAATCAAGAAGATCTAACCAAAAGTATGTTAATGCGTGTGGAATGCGTAATTTTTCCTTTTGGACTCAATTTTTGTCTGTCATTCTGTGCCATTCATTCGTCCGTAGTCATTATCGTAAAAATCCGGATTTCGGTCATAGCAGGTCCGTTTCCGATGAAATCCCAACTCCGATCCGTAGTTATACAATAATATGCCCAATAATTTAAATGGCGGACGAAGAAAAAATTTACAAAAAATAAACGATGTTTGACACGCTATTTGGAAAGGAATATGACGTTTTTAATGTAATACAAGGATAACAAATTTACTTCAGACAAATTTCATCAAGTTCTAATGAAGTAACAACTTATTTTGCCGAAAGTTAGAATGATTTGATGTACGCTCGAGTAACAAGTACCAGAAGTGATAAAAAATTGTTCTTATGAAATCAATGCTTTAACCTCTTTTCTGAAGAAAATAAATCGTTTATGCCTTGAATTTCTTTACTTTTAAATGAAAAATTGCTGTTTCATCGTCTTGGTAAAAATTGAATATTTCCGATGACGAAAGCGACTGAAAGTGAGTATCGTAAACCACAGGGCGACTTGTTTTCGCTTTTGAGGGTCGGGCAAAGCGAAGTGACGGACGGGAAAGCGACTTCTTTGCCCTAGTCGCCTGGTAGAGTGAGCCCTGAACTCAAATACTATCCTTGAACACAGACTGACTGAGGGAAATTTGAACAAAAGCTTAGGACTTACAGAATTTAAATTACAAAAAAAGAACTTGTTGCATATAACTCCTCAAAAAAAAAAGTTATTCATTTTCAAATTTGTTGGAATAAAGTCATATGTAATGAGAGTCTTGTAATTTTAATGTTATCGAAATTTTTTTTTTCAAGGCATGCATATATACTAAACTAAGTCCTGTATGCATGTTTTTATGCCCCAGCCGTAGCGAAGGGGGCATTAAGTTTTACCCCTGTACGTCCCGAAATTGGTTTCCGTTCTCTAACCTTAGTTTGCCTCAACCAAATGTTATGTTTATTACAAATCTATAACATATCATCAACAAATAATATTTAATTCAGTTGATTGTTGAACGCAAGCTGATTAACTTTCCAGTTTGTTGTCGAAGTTTACCAGATCATGACATTCATAAACAATCAACACTGAGCATGTAGAACACATGACAAATAAGTGAATAGATAGAGCCATGATATGATTTTTATACCCCCATCAAAATTTTGACGGGACGTATTATGGTATACAAATGTCCAGCGTCCGTCTGTCTGTCTGTCTGTCTGTCCGGTGTCCACATGTCGCACCGTAACTTGAGAACAACTTATCCAAATTTCATGAAACTTAACAGAGTTGTTTCTTATGATGGTCAAACGATCTGTATACTTTTTGGTGAAAATAAGATTAAAACTTTTTGAGGTACAGGGCTAAAACAGGGGGTGTTTTTTTCACATGTTGCGCCGTATCTCATAAACGATTTATGATTATTGCTTAAAACTTTACACACTTCTTAGTTATATTAATCTAAAGATCTGTATACTTTTTGGTGATGATTCAAAATTTTTATTTTAGAGTTATTGAGTTTTTTGTAAAGAAGGGGGGGTTTTCACATGTCGCGCCTAATCTCAAAAACGATTCATGATTATTGCTTAAAACTTTACACACTTCTTAATTATATTAATCTAAAGATCTGTATACTTTTTGGTGATGTTTCAAAATTTTATTTTAGAGTTATTGATTTTTTTACAAAAAAAGGGGGGGTTTTCACATGTCGCGCCGTATCTCAGAAACGATTTATAATTATTGCATAAAACCTCACACACAAGACAACGGGCATATCATGCGCTCGTGGTGCAGCTGTTTATTTTTATTTTCCATGCATTCCCATTTGTTAATTAAACTTTTCTTTAATAGTTGTTAAATGATATATTGTATTAAATTTGTTCTTTAAGAATAAGTTATTACTGTTTACACGTTTGTTTACATTCTTTCATCATATTTTACCCCTCACACTTGCGCTGTGCAGTGGCAAAAGTTCGTACGAGAGGTCTCGTAGTTAAAGTCTCTGCATACAAGAAAATATTGGCAAATTAGTGTATGGGAAGACAATAATTCAATATCAGTACATTTATGAAGATTTTGATATTATAAATGATCTTCTTTTACAAGTAAGTTCACTTAGACTTGTTTTATAGAAAAACTTCAAGTATATAAAACATATTCAACTTTTTTTTTTAATTTGAAGTTTTCATATGACTTTAAGGTAGCATTTTTGAGTTGTTTCAGTTTAGTTTAAACATATTTTATTGTTCAAAAATGACAAATGGATTAGACACAAGTTTTTCAACTTAGTAACGTCTTCTCCAATATATACATAAATATACACATGAATGAACATTACATAAATCTGACTTTAACCAATTATTATTTTAGCATGAAGATATAAAAATAAGTTACATACAAATTTTAAGAATCGAATCAATGGATATTTACCACTTAATATAACCAATCGAATGCGCCTATTTTCAGTAGAAATAAATACAAACACACCGAGCTGTGTAAAATAAAATATGTTAGTGTACATGACAAGTCATGTGAGTAAATTTGTTTAAATGTAAATTACACACTCATAGTTTAAAGTTACGGATTAACAGGAAAACGGAATAAATCTACACATAATTGTAAGTATCAATTTTGTTTTTTACTTAAATCCATGGAAACGTTTCAGAATACAAAAGTCAATCATAAAGATCATTCGATTATCGTACCCCTAAGAGCATACATTGATCATGTTCTAGTAAGATCTGTTACAGAATAAGGTTGTCAAAGTTGAGAAAAACGCTTGGTACTTTTTATATACTTTTGTACAGATAGAAAAACACTATAATTTTCTTCAGAACACAAAGACTCATCACCAGAGAGCAATAACTCAATTGTAATATTGACAGCAAAAACATTGATTTCATTTATCATTAAAAGCCTTTGTGATGAAAAATTGTTACAATATAATAAATAATGTTTAGCATCTTCATTGATGAAGCCACATAAACAATTGGCATCTTGTACTAAGTTTGCATTAAACAAATCTGATTGAAGAGTGCTACAATGGTTTCGCAACCTTGCATGTAATACAGATAGTAAGCGATCTCCAGAGTAAAAATGTCTCGGAGATTTTTTATTCTTATAGTATAACATATGCAATTTGCTTTTAAATAATGAAAATGTAGGAATCTGTCTAATAATAATATCTAAAGTGTTCCACAATGTTATGGATGCTGGGAAATAAGAATGTTGATAAACCGACAAACGATTCACTGGAATAGTGATATTGTGTCTGTTTCGTAAATTGTAATTACTAATATCAGATACAAATTCTGGAACCAAGTCATGTAGATAATCTGGAGCCTGATTGTTAATAATTTTATAAAACATGGCCAACTTTTTTACCTCCCGCCTTACGCTTAATTTTTCCCATCCCGTCTCCCTGTAAATAGCGTTTCGGCTAGCATAACTTGGTAATCCAGTAACAATGCGAGCAGCCTCGATTTGAATATTTTCTATCCGATCAGAATTTATGTTCCCACAATTATCCCAAACTTCTGATGAATACTCAAGTATCGGACGAATAAAAATCATATAAATTTTTTCCAAATATTCCCTTTTTAATCGATATTTTAGTTTGCGTAAAACATTAAGCTGCTTCGAAGTTTTCTCAATCAGTTTATCAACATGCTTATTCCATTTACAATCATTACTAAATATGACACCTAGATGTTTGTGCGCACTAACTGGTTTCAATGTAGCACCACCAAAATCAAAAGTAATATCACTGTATATATTTTTCAAACTGAATATCATAATATCAGTTTTATTAGGATTAAACTTCAGTGTAATACATTTTTTTGTACTTGTTTCAATAAAGAGATAAATATGTTGTATTTCTTGGTCTAATCTTTTTGAATTCAATTTTAGATGGAAGTTTGGTACCAGAAAGCTGCTGTCTTAAAAAATCACCTATTGATCAACACCAGCTTGACTTGTGTACAGGGAAAATTCAGTCTGATTCCAACTGGCCACCAACAAAATTGCCACCTGTGCTAGAGACACCTCTGAATTACACTCTCTATACTGTTGTAAGTTGTGTAATGAAACAGACTTAGTTACTAAGGACTCATTTATTTTCATGATTCCTAATTTTAGTTTTTTGCAATAAAAAGACATATTGTAAATTTCAACTTACAGATAAAAAAAAATACTGTGCAGATTTAGGTCTTTATATATTTTTGGGAGACAACTAAACAGTCTGTAAATTGCTATTTCTCCAAAAGAAACATACATTATTTGTTATATTATAATGAGCTGTGAAGTGTTCAAGCGAAAATGAATTCAACCTGTATTTTCCTAATCATGTGTGCATATATAAACAATGTGACTGCCAATCTCTGTCTGTCTTACACATCACAGATTTGAAAATTTCTGAAAACATCATGAACTTGCGAAAAAAAATAAATTCTTAATGTGAATATGATTTATTTATATACATTTCTGGAACAAGTACATCCATTTGCAGAACCCAGTATTGCCAAATGCAAAAATCTTTATTTGTCTTTTATAGACTGCAATGCCCAGCTTTCATTCAAGCTTTGAAAAATTATAAGAGCCCTATTTAGTTTTCCATCTTGTAATTACACTATGATATATAAATTTTATGAATTTGTTTTTACATATATTTAATTTATTCTATTAAAAGATGTTTTTTAGGGAGGAAAAATTTATCAGAGCAGTGGAAAGAAAGAGAATGAAATTTTATTTATATTTTCTGTTAATTGCTACTAAAAATAATATTTGTTGCTTCTGAGTTTAAATTTGAATTGTGTAGACGGTTAATTAAAATTAGTTGGTAAAAAAATCTCCTCTGCCCCTACTAAAGAAGACTAAACAAAGCAAAAGAAAACACAAAAACAACACAAAACACCCAAAACATATGTATCAGATTAATATTTTTAATACAATGTTCAGAGTTTGGTAATACAGTACATTTGAATATGAAATTTGTTGTAATAATTAACCAGGATCTTGAAAAAAGAAACAAATTCTGGGCAAAGCTTACTCAATAACACCTCCAACATTGTACATATACTGTACGTTTATATTGAATGTACATATACTGTACGTTTATATTGAATGTACATATACTGTACGTTTATATTGAATGTACATATGCTGTACATTTATATTGTATGTACTTATACTGTACCTTTATATTGTATGTACATGTACTGTATGTTTATATTGAATGTACATATACTGTACGTTTATATTGAATGTACATATACTGTGCGTTTATATTAATTGTACATATACTGTACGTTTATATTGAATGTACATATACTGTACATTTATATTGAATGTACATATACTGTACGTTTATATTGAATGTACATATACCGTGCGTTTATATTGAATGTATGTACATATACTGTACGTTTATATTGAATGTACATATACTGTGCGTTTATATTGAATGTACATATACTGTACATTTATATTGAATGTACATATACTGTACGTTTATATTGAATGTACATATACTGTGCGTTTATATTGTATGTACATATGCTGTATGTTTATATTGTATGTACTTATACTGTACCTTTATATTGTATGTACATGTACTGTATGTTTATATTGTAGGGTTGTTATGACAAGCTGCATGATTATCTTATAATGAATGGTATAATGATTGGGACAGCAGCTATAGTTGTGGGTGTTTTTATGGTAAGTTATTATAGACCATAAGATTTGTGTTTTTTGTTGTTGTTATAAATCAAATGTTCTTTCCTGCTCAACAAAAAATATTGTCTATGGATAATTTTCTGCAGAATTGATCGTTATTATCATAATTAGTTGAAAAACATAAAAGTTGATAACCTTTAGCAATGAGCCACCATGTGCGCTAAAAAATGAGTGACCTGCTTTTTTGGTCTGAAAATCATAACATTTTTAAACTTAACTACTGTAAACTGTAAGTAAATTCCACAGTTGCCTGTTTGGCAAATTTTAGAACATGATGCTTGATGCATTTTTATGACAATAACAGTATTGAATAAACTTTCATAAAAGCAAATGTATGCATATAAATTTCTGAAAATTGCCTACTGGGTTATTAAGTTGATCTACTAAACAAATGTTATAAAGATATGTAAATTTGATATTAAGCAGCAATCTAGATTTTAATGAAATAGGATAATACTTAGTTGTATCTGTAACATATTAATGATAACTATTCTTAATAAAAACTTAAATTTTTAATGAAGTATACAAAATGCAGCATTTGGCCCTTTGATAATTTTCTTTTATTCGACATTTCTTTACTGTTTGAGCAAAAATAATGTCCATTGTCTATGAATAATTTCAACTACATGTTAAACAGTTGCATGTGTTCAATTATATCTATAAAGATCATCAAGATATTCAAACAACTTTTAAAGTCTGACTGATGGAAATTTAAACAAAACTTTTAGCTATAGAGATTACATGTAACATGGATATATATGGAACAAACATTAAACACCCAAGGTCAACCAAATAAATGTACTATATAGCAGCAGTGTTTTGTAAGGAAAACATATTTAGGCCAACTGTTAATATCTCCCATATCAAAATATATGTTAAGCTGGCCTGTAGTGCTGCAGATGCAGAATTGATTGATATTATCGTGATTAATTGAAAAACATATATAGTTTATAACTAATGAAGCATGTCATGGTATGGAAAATCACAAAACAAACACATTTTCAAAACAGATTGTAACCACCTCTGTAGTCTCATGGTAGAATGCCTGTCTTAAATGCAGGATGTCATGAAAGACTAGATGCCATATCATACCTTTTGAACTAGCTCATTAAAGATTTGACTCATTGTGTCAGTCTAGTCTAAAGCATGGTTCATATTCATATCACATCATTATGTCCCGTTTTGCATGTAATATTTTCCACTGGACATTAAACACCAATTCATCCATCCATCCAAACTGATTATATTGATTACTTTGATGTTGAACCAGATACACAATGAGCTATTACCCCTTTAATAATGACTAATGTATCTTCCAAATTTAAAGTCAGTAGTTGTTCTATTTAAAAACATTAACAAACATTACCATGCAACAAGGTGCAGCTCAATGTTTTTTTTCTGGTTTTGGGGCTGTCAAAGATGTTGGATCGTTTAGTTCATATGAGATTGATGTAGAATGTAGCATTTCAGTATAATAAGTCATATAATAAAATCGTGTTTTATTTCTTTCAGATTGTTTTGCTGACATTCGGGATAATATTTTACAGGAACATGAACTCCTCTTGACATTTTTGTTGTTCTTATGTCTGTGATATGTAGTCTAGTCTAGAAGTACTTAATCAAGATAAGCACACTTAGTATGGTAAAGGATTGTTTTATTTCTAACAGAATCCCCAAAGTGTTTTATTATGTTACTGTTTTCTATATATGAATAAGGAAGAATAAAAAAGGGGTTTTTATGACTTATCTACAATATTTATTAGTGACATTTGATATGAAATTGAAATATTTGAATTAGATTTTAGTTACATTTAGGATTTTTTCTCTATTTAAATTTTCTTTTATATGAAATTCTTAGTACCTGTTGAATTTGATTGTTTTTTAGGTAAAGAAAATGCATATGGTTCTTACAGTTTTCATTTTGTAAATGTTAATAACTAACGTTCTATAACTCTTAGATATCTTGCAAAATTAATTTTTCATGTTAAGTGACATGAATTTAAAAAAAAATATATATGGTCAGATCATATGTTTTCGTACGTCATATGAATTTGTACTATGCATGCTTTTTCAATGGATATTGTGATGTCACAATGCATTCTTAATAGCACGAAAACCCACGAAACGAGGATAAAATCTTATTCAAAATTACGTATTGAGAAATTTGTGAAAGCTAAATTTTTGAGCATTCATGGTCTTATATTGTAATCTTTAAAAAAAATAAGTAAAAATATGAATGGTGTGTTTTGGTGTACTTTGTAACTATAAAGGAGTAGGGGCATAATTAGAGCCCTTATTTGGCCTAAAATATGATGCAAGTAAAATATAAACAAATTACCATACAAGATTACAGTTCTGTTAAAACAATTTTAAGTAAAGTGGTATTCGAGAAACTAAATAAATTTCCCATGTGTAACCATGACAAGGAATGTCAAAATTGAGTATTTTGAATGTTTCCATTATTTTCTCGTTTTTCATAAAAATTTCCATTCATAGATATAGAAAAGGAAAAGTATTAGAGCACCCAAGAAACAACTTCATACTTGTGTAATAAGGGATGATACATTTTCTAAAAAAAAAATGTTGTCACTTGTTAAATGTGCTCCAAGTCTCCTGAAAGCAAATATACAAGGACACTCTATAACAAGTAGCTTTTTCTGCTTTTTCTGTAATTTTAAAACTAATAGCAAGGTATATTATGACAGCATTGTGACATCATAAGAGTGAAAATTAGATTATTTTTTTTATTTCATAACCCCCATATACTTCTCTTTGTTCTTTTGAAGTTATTTACAAAACATTCATGTTTTTGGCCCAATAATGAGCCTTAATCTTCTACTTGTCTTTAATCTTGGTTATTTAAATTTATATTTGACATTCCATACAATTACTATGTAAATAGGCAAAGTTTTATTTTACTATTGTTGTTTGTTTACTAAAACAATTCAGGGATGGAAAAAAGTACAAGTATTTTGTTAAACAGTGTTATGAATTTACACTTCTTGTATGAGATTATTTTTATGATGGAATGAATTAGTATATATATTTGTACTAACAAAAGATTGGTTTGTTATCTATGACAAGAGAATGAAACTATGCAGAATAAGAAATAAGATTAATAATTGTAGTAATAACTAGGCATTGCATAACAAGTAGGCGCCTTTAGCATAAGTATTATTACAAAAGGAAAGCTTATTTTATCTAAAATATTGGAGCAGAAATAGAGTTTTAGAAAAAAACTTCATATTTAAAAAAAATCAATAAAGCAAGTTCCCTGAAAAAAACTGACTTTTTATGGAGCGGTTTCTGTGACTTTTCATCGTAATTTTGCTATTTAAGCTCACATCATTCACAATGGTTTAATTATCACTTGCTGCTTTTGTTTATAGTTTTGCATGAAAAAATATTTTTGATGACCATTTTTGGCAAGCATTTTAATAGTTTAAAAGCTTAATTGAGCTTTTAAAGTAGCTTTATGGAAAATGTACATACATTTAAGCAACTACTAGTGAAGCTTTATTAAATGATATAAGTCTAATCGTTGCATTCTCTTTTCATTGAAAAATGAATAATACAAACAGTTTAAAGCTGTTGAAAGACATTAACAAGTTTTACATATCAGTCTCGTTTTAGTCATGCTTGATATAATGGTGATTTCAATATGTCTGTGTCTCCCGTTTGATACACTTAAATTAATTGTCTTGATAACTGAAATGACTTAGTATTATTATATTACTTGTTTGACCACTACACAAATGATTGTAAACATTTAATATTTGGAAAGTAATATTTCGGGAAATAAGACACAATTTATTCTCCATAGATATGTTAAGTACCTTGACAAAATATCTTTATATATTTTCCCTCAGAATATCCTTGACTTTTTTTTAAAGTTAGAGACTGTAAATGACAATTATCCAAGATAAAACTGTTGTTATATCATGTATAGATATTGTAAATATATGACTAGTATTATAGATTATGGTTTTGAAAACAAGAGGAAAAGGCTCAACTACAATCTTAATGAAAAGGCAATTTCCCCGAGATGAGATGTAACTGAGAAACTTTCTCGAGTTAAAAGACCATAGATAATCTGTTTATCCCTATTTTCCTAGGCAGAGTCAATGATGTAAATAATCACACAAAAATAATAACAATTAAAAATGAAGTATGGATGATTGAAAATATTATGACGGTAATCAAATATGTATGTATGAAAGAATATAGCAGTGCTATAGTATCAATTGAAACTTAAATGAAAAAAATGATGAATGGTTTTCATTGAAAGCAGGTTCTTTCAATTGCTCAAGAATAAAGAGGCGAGTCGCTTTATGAGACATGTTTGAAGAAAATATTATGCATTCCAGAATATTAATAACATATCTATTTGATATAAACATATCAAAGATAAATTATATTTGCAGACTTTGTACATATTTTTACTATTTTTAGAAACTTTGATTATTTTACTGCTAAGTATTAAAATTTTGAATGAAATGAATTTCTTCATTCTTATCCCCTTACAACTCTTAAAGCAATCCGTTTTTGATTTACCATTAATGCATGTTGTAGCCACGAGGAATCTTTAAGGGTATCAGAAAAATTTCTTCCGTTCAATTCTATGAAACATTTGAGTAAAATAATTGGAACTTGTTTTTGTGACCTTATTATAAATTTATTTTCAAGCTTTGTGAGTTGGAGCTGTTGTCACTTCTGTGCATAGACTATGTTGCCAGTCTAAAAATCATGAAGACCAACACTAAGAAACATTATTAATATCAAACCACATGGGAAATTAATATATAACACAGCCAGTTTTGTCTTTAAGACAGCTCTACAGATAAAACATATTTTGTTTGTAATTAGAAAATGGGTTAGAATTAACAATTTGATAATGTTTCAAAATCCAAAATACCTTTTACTGTTACATGGTAACATAAACTGATAGTCCAAACATAAAATGAGCTTAAGGGAAAATTTAAATTTCAAATTTATAATTTTGGTGCCAATTTGAAATACAAATGGTCTCTTTTGAAGACCATAAGTTAACTTTGGTATTATTTTTCCCTTCAAAACCATTTCTGAAATTCAATTATATTGGAGATAGGTGATCATACCTAAGTTCTATAGAAGGTCAAAGATTTAAGTGTGACATTGTTTTCCACTTGTCAGACTATGATTGTTTTATTATGTTATATTTGTATGATGATTATTTACAACATGTTTGTTTTTGTTGTGGATTATTAATATGTGTATTGATTTTCATGTCAGAATATGTACATAAGGTTAGCCTATTCAGAGTGTGATATTTTTTCTTATGTTTTTAATTAAAAAGTTAAAATGTTTATCTTTTTTAATCACTAAAAACAATTATTGACATCATATAGCCTGATAATACTCAGTGGTTATATTTAAGAATACAATAATTAAATTTTCCTTAATGTGTTGATAAAAATTGTCCATTGATCCCATTAATTGGTCTGAATATGCATGAAATAATTGCCTCTGGAGGTTAAGCAAGCAACAAACAATCAATAAATTGACCCAAATCTTCAACAGAAAAGGAATAAAAGTTTAAAGTTCAGATCATTCAGACTATAAGCGTGATCAAGTGTCAGCTCTGTATAACAATATATAGCTCTAGCTCTAGCTCTGATAAATATACTCTTTAAATACAACAAACATTATTTCTTATAAAGATTGTCTGCAGTCTATTCAACTTATATATTAGACATTTTGTTTAAGAATATAATTAATTATGTTATAACTGAAGTTTTTAAATCATAAAATGTCTTGTAATATAGTGATATTGTAGGTTAGGGAAACCTCAGTATTTTTATTCATTTATAAATATCAAATTTTCTATTCATAATATGTTTAAAGTAACTTATATGATGTTGATGAATAAACAGGCTTCTGTTAATATAAGAGAATCTAATATTTATTATGATAAAAATATATATAACATGCAAAAGTAACTTCAATGGTCAATTAGTTAAAGAAGGCTGAATGATTTGAAATAGCAAGGCCAGTAAAAGACTATTTGTAAATTTTGTATAGTATATGTAAATGCTTTAATATCTTAGTACTTATATTTAAAACTGTTTTCTGTGTTCGTTTTTTTCTAAAGAAAAAACCTGTTGTTTGACATTAGTGTGGATGTTATTTAAGAAATAAATTCATATTTGAAAAACAAGAACATTTCAAAATTTAGCCTGCAGAACTCTTTTACGGGTAATAAAAAAATCATTAAATAGTAAAGAAATGAATAAAAAAATCATTAAATAGTAAAGAAATGAATAAGAAAAAAGTTAATTTTGGATTTCATTTCAAATATTTGTAAGCACCTCATGTTGAAAAAAGAATTTATGTGTCACTGCGGATTTATTTATTTTCGTGATGAAGGAAAATTGTATTTTCGTGGATATTTGATTTCATGGTTTCACAAAAGTCTGCATACAAACATAAAGAAAGTGTACTTCTTTGAACATTTCAATTTGTAATTTATTTATACCCTCGAAATCTACGGAAATTGGTATCACACAAGTAATAATAAATCAAGTAAGTTAAAGAGATTTATAAAATGTATGATAAAATAACAACAACAGAGGAGACATAATATTTTAAAGTATTTGATACAAATAATTCCCCTTTTAAGACTTTCGTGTCCTCTAATAAATTTCTGTTTTGTTGAAGCAAAAATAGTGTTTTAATGGATTTTAACATTTTATTATGAACCTCACATCACTTAAGTATTTAGAATCACTGTACTACCATATTGCTGTTAATGTTTAATGTGATATATCATGAACTGTCAGCAGAAAACATAACCATGATTGAGGGGGTGACACAGGGGTGCTCATTTCCAAAATTCTGCTTTTATGTAATTTTTTTCTACTTCCCACTTTTTTCCTTTTTTTCTCAGATTCCACTTTTGTTTACGCCCTATATATCCCACATCCCCACATTTTTTACCCCTTATATCTCACATCCCCACCTTTTTTACCCCTTATATCTCACATCCCGGGGGGGGGTTACTGACTATCCTTTCGGGTATAACTGTGCCGACAGCACTTGCCAAATCATACCCTGTTCTAACCAGAAAACATTGAAAAACATACCCTGTTCTAAACAAAAATATTGAAAAACATACCCTGTTCTAGACACGCTCAGAAAATGTATACCCTGTTCTAGACACGCTCAGAAAATGTATACCCTGTTCTAGACACGCTCAGAAAATGTATACCTTGTTCTAGACAGAGACCTGTATGTTCTAGACTAGTTCAGAAATATATACCCTGTCACCAAACAATTCATTAATGTAAGCAAAAAACATACTTGAAAAAGACCCTGTTCTCACCAGCAGGGCATGAAAAAGCTACCCTGTTCTAACCAGCAGGACATGAAAAAGGGACCCTGTTCTAACCAGCAGGGCATGAAAAAGCGACCCCGTTTTGCGGCACACTCGTACCACTAAAAATATAGGAAGTAACCCCCCGGGCTCACATCCCCACCTTTTTTACCCCTTGTATCTCACATCTCAAAAGTATGTCACCCCCTCATTCTTATACTTGTAGTTTATTGTTTGAAGTATATCTGTGATTACATTAGCACATTTTAGTCAGCTTAGAGTGCCAAGACAAAAGCTAAAATATATACAGCTTCTTATTTATTATGTTACTTATGTAAGCTTTTATATATGTTAACTGTTGTTTATGTTGTCAGAATAGACATAATTTACAAAAGAAAGATCCCTCATGCGAGGGAATAAAAGTCTGATGTCTTAATATAAACAAGGAATGTTCAAGTTTCGATGAAAGAATAGATTTGGTCACACTTTATTTTACAATGAGCACCTCAATAAATCATGTATATAATATTTATGTAGATTAGATATTTACTTCTCTTTATTGACTTCAGAATTTCTTCTATCTGACAACTGTAGCAGTGGTTTAAATAAAAAACAATCCTATAAGATATAACAAACTACATATTTTAAGAATATTGGTAGTTTCTTTTTTGAGTGCAGGGTAGTTTTCCAATTATAAACTTAAAATGTTAGTGCAGAGCTCCAGATTTATATAAATTTAATGGGATATCTTCCATGTTTTCGAAAAAAGTATGAATATTTTTATTTAACAATGACTATTGATGAAACAGTTAAAATTACCTTAAAAAGATGTTTATATTGACAAATAATTTTTAAAGAAACATTTGACAATTTGTAAAGAACAAAAGGGAAAACATATAAGTAAATCTAATCAAAGATCACAGCTCTAATTTCATGGTTAAAGAATATTACATTAGTGTATTTTGTACTCCCTGATTTAAAAATGACAGGGGTATTTAGTCGGACTGTGAGGGTGAAATTCTTTTAAAAAATATGTTAACCTGGAGCACAGCTGATGTTATATGATTATCACAGAAAATATTGTCGGATATCATATCTTTTTGTTTTATGTACAATACATTTTTACTGTTTGTCTTGTTTTGTAAATACAACATTATTTATGATTTTTTTCATATTTCAAGAGTGGTAAATTAAATGTGAAACTTGCTTTAGTGTTTAATTTTTTATATACAGAACATCTGATAAAAAGTTGTTGATTCATCTTTTTCTTTCATTTAAAAATAAATGGAGAATGTGTCCATGGGTCACAAATGATGCCCAGCTTGCATATAATGTTATAAAGGGACATAACTCAAGAACAGTAAAAGTGATGCCACCCAAAATCAAGCTTGATCTATGTTTTGTGGTAATAAGCATTGTGTATAAGTTTCATAACATTTGGTTGAGGCAAACTTATGTTACAGAATGGAAACATATTTCTAGACGTATGTACTGACATACGGACGGACGTACAGACTGACAAGGTTAACACGTAATGCCCCTTTTGCTGTGGCGGTGGCATAATAAAAAGTCAGTCACTATCCAAGAGTATCTACTACCAATTTAATAGGTATTCATTGAGCCAATTAGAAACAAACAACCACAATCATCCTAGTCTTCCTAGAGGTATTTAGTTAAAAAATGTGTCTGATGATCCAGCCTGACAACTAACATGGCTGCCAAGACTAAAATAGAACATTGGGGTAAAACGCAAGTATGGCCCATTACCTTTTTAAACAGCTATAAATAGAGAAAATCTGACTGAAGAAGAAATGTTCAGAATAACAATATGTACCTACCATTTATTGCAAACAAAACTGTCAGACAACTTATAGAAATTATTGCCCTGAATTTACCATTTTTTGAGATTTTTTTTTTGCAAATTTTAAAGATAACGTGAAACTCTAAATATAAATGGCAAAAATGATCTTCAGGACAAGTTCTTCTATTATTTATAGAAATAAGAAGATGTTGTATTACCAAACAGACAAGTCTCCACCAGAGACCAAATGACATAGAAGTTAACAACTATAGGTCACCGTACGGCCTTCAGTCAACATGGTAGAAATTATCAGTAATCTCCATATAAGAGTTATTGCCCATGAAACACTAATTTTACTCATTTTTGTGTTTTTGTTGGAACAATAGCAGATAAATGAGTCAAATAAATTAAATTTTCAGTCAACACCTACCTTATAGTTATTCCCCTTGAAAGATGATTTTTACCCTTTTATGTGTGTTTGCAGAAACTATATCAGATAGAGAGAAATTTTAGAGTGCAAAAAAGATCAGCATGACAAGAACTAATGAATCAACATGGCTGATATTGCCAGTCAACTTAAATGGAGTTAAGGAGCTACCATTTGATTTTTATGGGGGGAGGGGCTAGGATGAAATTTGAAGAAAAAAAAGGCAGGACAGGAGTTTTGAGTTAAAAAAAAAAACAGGCAGGATGACTCATTATTGAGCAACTTGAAGCCTCTAGTTTATGTATTCCATATAGCAATACGGCTTCCACTATTGCAGGTCTTGCTTAAAGGACAAAAAACAAAGGTAAAAAGCCTCCTGATTTGGACCAAGCATTTTTAACCGGATTTTTGAAGGAAATATCGGTTATTGATTTGGGGATGTACTTCGGGTGAGTGGGCGGCTGCCAAACAGTGTCTGTTCAATAACATGAAAAGGCTTTGATGAATTTTTTCAAATTTAGATATGTTGTTTCCTGTGACTAAATGAAGGTCAAGTTCAATTTTCACGATTTTAGCTTTTCTCCTTGTTGAGTTATCACCCTTTTTAATATCCAAAAGTGGTATTTATAATGTGATTGAGTTATTTCTCTTTGTACAGAAATGGTTAATTATATATATAAAGTTCAATTACACTAAGTGTTTTTAAATAATTTACTCCTGTTATCAGATTATAACAAAGCATATGGTAACTGTCTTATCTCACAATTATAATTGGAGTGACAGATTTATTTGAAAATTTTCTGTTTCCTAAGTGCTGATGATTATAAGCTATATTTTTAGACATTTTGAAGATATTTACAGATAAGTTTTATAGATTTTTAAAAGACATTGTATTAATGATAAATAAAATTTTTGATTTTTTTTCTTTTCTTTGGTAAATTGTTTGAAGAATTTTGTGGTAAGTTTGTTTGTTATTCTGTAAACACTTATTTTCTGAATGCTATATATATTTTTTTTGATGGATGAAGTGAACTCCTTTAAAAACTAAGCTAATATTGTCTATTAATAAACATATATTTAGATTTCTGATTTTGGGCCCAGTTTTCAAGTTGGTCCAAAATTAAACTGTGTTTGATTTCAACATAAATTGAATATATATAGGGTTCTTTGAAATGCTGAATCTAAACCTGTATTTATTTCCATTATTAATAAGATAATATCACATTGAGGTCCAAAGGGTCCTAAATTAAACTTTTGTTTAATTTCATCAAAAATTGAATTCTTGGGTTCTTTGATATGCTGATTCTAACAATGTTTGAGTGTTAAATCATATCTTATTTAAGAGAACTTAGTCATCACTGGTTGTTGTTATTATATTATTGATTATAATTTGAAAAATTACATCATATCTAATTTTAGAGTTTGAATTATTTCCCTTTGCACAGAAAATATATGGATAAAATTAAACTGTGTTTCATTTCAACATAAATTAAATATATATAGGGTTCTTTCAAAAGCTGAATCTGAACCTGTGTTTAAATATTAGATTTTTGGGCCCAGTTTTCAAGTTTCAATCAGGGTCCAAAATTGAACTTTGTTTGATTCAACAAAAATTGAATTTATGGGGTTCTTCGAAATGCTGAATCTAACCATGTATTGAGAGATTTTGGATTTTGGGCTTCTTTATCAAATTAGTCC